GGTGTGCTGGACATTTTTCCTCCCTAGGTGCAGCACTTTGCATTTCTCCTTGTTGAACTGCATTCTGTTGTTTTCTGCCCACTTGTCCAACCTGTCCAGGTCTGTTTGCAGCTGTTCCCTGCCCTCCGGCGTGTCCACTTCTCCCCATAGCTTTGTTTCATCTGCAAACTTGGACAGAGTACACTTCACTCCCTCGTCCAAGTCGCTGATGAAGACATTAAAGAGTATCGGTCCCAGGACCGAGCCCTGCGGGACCCCACTGCCCACACCCTTCCAGGTCGAAACTGCCCCATGCACCATGACTCTCTGGGTGTGACCCTCTAGCCAATTTGCCAATAGATGTGAAAGATGAAGTGTGTGGTCTTGTATTTGGGCCCAGAGGCAATAATCTGGCAAAAAGCCTGATTCATTTAGCATTGCTGGCTGTGCAAGGAGGCTGAGATTTCTACTAGGTGGGTATCTGCTATCCCTAAGTGGGGCTCACCTTTTTATCGGCATATTTCTTAGAAGGAGGGGGTGGGGGCAGTAGGAATGTAGTCTGGTTTCTAACCTTCTGTCTAGAATGTCATTGCTTCTGTGAAGTAGGAGACCTCCATTTTTCTGTTCTTCATGTTCTTGTTTTTATTCTATCTCTTTCAACTAGGGGTTCACTGATGGTGATTCTTCTTGCGGGTTAGGGGGGGCGACAATACTGATGGCCCACTCTTAACCAGCCATATCAGCCAATATCAATCTGATTGCCAATATGCAGCCCAGCAGCATGGAGAGCAGCATCCGCCTGGTAAGTCTGTTGTGGGGGGAGGGAAGGGATGTGGGGGACTCGGTCTGCCCCCCACACCGCTTCCTTCCCCCATGCCTTTTCCTCCACAACAGACTTAACAACCAGACACTGCTCTTCACACTGTAGACCTGTGCTCCTGGCCACCCGTGTGCTGTGCTGCAGCTGTGCACATGCACGTGGCATTTATTGACAGCATTATTAACTACATCAGCTAAAAAAAAGTCGATTGCCAATAATGTCAGTTTTCCTTTTATGAATGCTGATATGGTATGGACCAATGTAGTGGTGCACCTCTACTTCCAACTTCATTCTTTGAGAGGAGTTCCTTCTCTGGATAACCCCCCTACTTTTGGTGGTTGATAGCATCAGTTTCAAGGACTTGCTTTTTAGAAAGCTATGTTGACAATTTCACTGAAGCTCATAAACTTCTGAATTAAAAGAGAGAAGCTGAGCAGGATATTTGCTTCCCAGCGACATGGCAAAGTTATGATTACCAGAGACTGAGGAGCTATTTTACAAAGGCATCTCTATACTGATACACTTGCTTCGTGCTTGAAAGATTATCTTTTTGACTATTAGAGCTAGAAATACTTATCGTTAACATTTAAATTGAGTAGCAAGGTAAACCTCCTTATTTGTCAAGGCAAGTCAATTATTCAGAGGAGTAGGCAGTTGGGATACCACTTGAATCTTCTTTCGCTTGTAGATTATATTAATGTCAGCACTTGGTGCAGGTATTTCCTCTAGGTTAGTTACATGCCTTGCCCCGATAGTACTAAATGTTGCGTACAGAAATCTGGACTGTATCAAGCCGTAACTAGTTCACTTAAGGAGTTTCTGAGCTTGTATCACTTCTGGCCAAAGTCCCCAGAAAGGAAGGATAAGTTCTCCCACAGTGTGGTGCAAAAGCATTCACAGAGCAGCTTACGGGGGACTGCATCATGGGATACGATTTTGGAAGCCATGGTAGCATGCAAGAGCTACTAGAATGCCAGTGAAGAAGCATGACATTGTAGAAACTCATGTTGCATAGTTTAATTCCTGTACTTCAGGGGTCAGCCACTCCCAGTACATGCCAGTGTGTGGCACGTGAAGACATGTTGCTTTGCATGCCAGCCCTCGGTAGAAAGTAGGGAAGCCACGAGAGGCCCAATCTTTTTGTGGCAGTGCAGTCCCAGCCCCTTCCCCGTTGTCCACCCTGAGGCCCCTGTCCACCTGCCACTGGCAACAAGTCTGTCTACGATTCCTGATGCAGCTGCTTGAAGTCTCCATACTGCCTGCTGGGAGCAGCCTGGGCTCCATGATGAGTGGCAGGGTCCTGCCCAGATCCCAGGCTGGCTGTGGCAGGCAGCCATGAGGCTGCAAGTGGCTGCACTGGGGTCCATGAAACCCTGGCCCAGCTCATTGCTGCCAACAGGTGTACATGGTGGGGAAGGGGCCAGGGCTATGCTGCCATGATAAG